AAAAAAAAAAGAAAAAAGGAAAAAGGAAAAAATGAAAAAAGAAAAGAAAAGAAAAAGAATTGGACTTCCTAAGTAAAATGGAGGTTAACTTGTATTGAAGTTCCAAAGTAAAATGAAGTGAAACTAGTTAGTAGAAAGTAAAGAATATTTTGACCAAGAATGTTGGACAAAAAAACCATCAACCAAGAATAAAGAAAAAGAAATAAGTGGGATTAGAGTAAACCATATTTTACTAAATATTATATTTTATTCAGTGTTACCTTTGTATTTATGTTTGATATCCCTTTTCAGCCATTGGTGGTGTGACAGGAGAGCTTCTTGAGCAAAATGCCCAAATGTTCAACCAAATTTCTGTAAACTTTGGGGCCTTCCAGGTAAAATATACTGTTTGACTCATTGTTTCTTAATAATCCCATGGATCTTTGTACATTTGTGTGTGTGCAGGTGCGTCTTGTAAGTTAATAATACTGTTAATCTGTGTGCATTGTAGGTTAATAATATTGTTAAAGGATCTGCCTGCTCAACTCTTTGTCGGGCTAGGGTTAATGAAATCCAAGGCTTTAATGTGTGTGAATAAAGGGCTCTCAAGGTTTATGGATGAAAGCATAGGGTTTTGATACTAAACTATTTGCAGTCTTAATAAATTTGAAATACACACAATCTTAATTAGAAAAGGCTTCTTTATTATGAGTAGTAGGTTGGTATACACAAGATTCTAGTTTTCAATTTAATTAATTACAGTAGTAGTTAGTTCATAAAATAAACATAACACTATGAAGAGTAAAGAATTAGTTTCTTCAATGATCGCTTCAAAGCATGTACTATGTAGCTCTTATTTTTCAAGTATAATGGTCAGTGATGCTATTTTACCATCTAAAGCCTCTTTTTGTTAATGGAATTAACGAAAGATTTTATCTTCTAATTGCTTGATATTGTAGAAAGCATTCCAGTTTTGAACAACGATGCAATCTTCTGAGTAGCTACCTATATGCATGGCTGCAACTTTTTAATTATTTTTTCTTGCAGATACACGATAACCTCAACCTTTTATGCAAAACTCGGGATAATATCCTCTCAATCTTGAATGAGTATGTCATTACCTCTACACTCTTTGTAATGTTCAAGTTGGAAAATATGTTCATGCATCTTGAATGTCTTGCTTGGTCCAATATTTAAACTCTGTCTACACATGTTCATCATGGACTGTTCTAATTTTAAGGAGATTTGCAGCTTGAATGACATGCCAGAGGTAATGAAGCAGATGCCTCCACTTCCAGTCAAGGTGAATGAAGAACTGGCTAACTCCATCCTCCCCAGATCATCCCATCAAGTGAAATCATGATTCAGTCCTTGCTGCTGTTGATACTTTGACCGTTGAGTCATGCTAAGATCTTGAATTCAAATCTTAAAAAAGATAGTAATAAAATTGGTCACTCAATCAATTTATTCTTATCAATTGGAAAGGCTTCTGAGTGCCCCCTTTGCAACTTTTTATGTAGAATGTGTTCATTAATTTCTGATATTTGGCAGTTCTTTTTATTTTATGAACACATTTCTGTTCTTCAGTTGGTTGACTTTAGGAAGTTCCTGTTCCTGTTCCTGTAGCATGTGTATATGTGTAGATTGAAAACCTGATTGTATAAATCGTTGAATGAAAAGTTAATGTTAGTCTCATTTCTTTTCTCCAGACGAATTGTATTTATGAGAATAGAATGGTTTGGTTTCTTCACATCTATGTTCTCCCCTAACGTTTACTAGTACCCTCTGAGTCCCATTTTATCTATAATTATATTTACCTTGCACACGTTACTTTAGAATTTAACTTATCATTATAATTACCTTCCACACATTACGTTAGAATTTGGATGGTGCTTTTATCTAGTATGTGAATAGTATTTCTTGATCAATTAAAACTACGGAAAAGAACTATGTAGTGAAAAAAATAAAGCATTATTTATGTTACTTATATTAACGACTTTTGTGGTCCAACTGTATGTCTTTTGAGTACTCTAGGTTCTTCTTCTTCACACCTTTTCAGTTTTCAGAGATTAATTACTTTAATTTCCTTTCCCGACGGTGACTCTTTGATTCTTCATACGTAGTGCATATAAATAAGCAGGAAAAATCCAGCTTTCGTACCTGGTAAGATCATAAAAAATGGAGGGAGGAAAAAATACGAGCACGTTGATCGGCTGAGCAGCTCGCCAGATTGTCTAATCCGATGCCAAATATGCAGTACAAACCTGTGTCCTCTCCTAGAGACGAACTCATCTGTGGTCTTTTCTCCCCACTTAAAATCTCAGGGATGTGAATTTCGCTGGATTTGATGACTTTAGAACATTTGTCATCCGTGTTCTGGACCATCGCATGAAATCTACTCTCCTTACAATCTGCTTTTCTCATCAACGTTCTGGTTCATCGCACTCACGTGGGTATATGGATTCGTTTAACCGTTGCCACCCCGTTGAAAAGAGCAGCATACTTTGCAGCATCTCACAGAGTTGAAGAGTTGATAATGTATTGCCATCCAAGTCGAAGTGGTCACATCCAGCACAGCCTTTTTAGCAATCAATATTTGAAGATTCTCAAACTAGAAGGTCTAAGTATCATGGGTGGATTACCAAACTCCTTAGCACTGACATACTTGGCGACTTCGCATCAAGTCACTGCTTTGATCTCTTTTCAAGATGTTTGAATTTGGAAAATATGGTTTTGTCTCGAGTTTGCATAGGTGTGTCAAATGTCTTCAACATATCTGCTCCTAAACTAATCATGTTGGAAATGCGTTAACCTCGAGTTTTGTTGAAGGAAAAAAAAGTGAAATTCAGTTAATCTCTTGTAGAGATAAGAGCTGGAAGGTTGTGATCGCTGCCCCAAGTTTAACTACTTTCAAATATTCAGATGAAAAGCCATTGTTGCTGTCCACGGAAAACTCTCCCCTTCTTGACAAGGTGCATATTTGTCTATGTTCTTAGTCTCTGAAGAAAGCTGAAGATGATTCAAGAAGAAAGGAATTTCTTTTGGCTCTGAACAATATGGTTTTGGAGCTTGGCAATGCAGGATCCTTCAATTTAACTAGTTTTACTAGCCAAGCATAAATGTTGAAATGTAATTTTCTGTGCATCTTAGCAAACAAAGAAGGCATATAAAGGGATCAGAACGAACATGACAATTGTCCCCTTTTACAGTTTATGGTTCTCTGCAGCCAAATTTAGGCTAAAAATTATTCTTCAGCATAACATTCAATAGATGAGTTCCTTGCAACCGACATTGTATTTAGGCATACGTTTGCAACAAACTACTGAGTTAATGATACAAAGAAATATTGCTCAAACATAAATCAAAGGTAACTACATTTCACTTTGATTAACTAGTGAAATATCATGACATTGATTCTAATAAGTCAAACAAAAATGAAAATCAGTAACATGAGCTCCACCTTTTGCTGCTGATCATAAAAACAAAAGTTACATGAGCCCCTAAAATTTAACCTTCAACCTGTCAAGAAGAAAACCAACAAGGAGGTCATATCTGGTGAACATGAATTCCCTATAGCACAGAAGAATATGAGCAACTCATATTGAACCACCAATACCATAAGATCATTTTCAGAGGCATAATTTATTTCCCTTAACTTTGAAAATAAATTTGTGACCGTTTACTGAAAATAAACCAAGATGAGATAAACAGAAGCTATGGAAATTATAAAATCCAACACAGAAGCATTAGCTACACCAAATCCCCGCAGGCCACTTCCCATGTGAGGTTGGTCCTAAATTTTTATCTCAGAGAAAACATAAGGCCTTGCATTTTCAATTTGAAGGTGTTTTGTAGACTCTCACTTTGAAAACTTAAATTACAGCTTAGCGGTAAATAATCCTTTTTAGAGAATATGCTAGCTAGCATAACTGGTTTAAGTCATTGGTAGTTAATCCACTTATCTGCGGGAGAAAAACAATGTTCAGTTATTTGGAGAAAACTAAAATATTTAGAGTGAGCTTCATAACGTCCTGTCCAGAATAAAGCTGAAGTGCTAGTACAGACTAAAGCTTCAGAACCCCCTACCATCGAGAGAACTCAATTAAAATTGTAAGGTCATTTCGCTAACATCATAGAGCTGATCAGGAAACACCAATTTCTTTAACAAGATCGGACCATAATTGCAGGATTATTACTTACTGCTGCTACCATTAATGCAATTTACAATTGGGAAGGCAATACTTAATTTATTTTTCTTTTTAATTTTTTTTAAAAATAAATATATATAAACATTTTATTTCAACTATTTATTTAATTAATACATTTTAAAAATTTTATTCTTCTTTATTTTATTTTTTTATTAAATTATTTAATCAAATAAAAATATTATCCTTCCCCCTCCTTCACTTTTATCTATCCAAACACAACTAATATCAAGCCCTCTCCTTCCATTCACTTCTCCTCCCTTTCCTTCCCCTCCTCTCCCCTTCCTTTCCTTTGCTAACTTTTATCCAAACATAGGCCTAGTCCAATTATCCAAAATTCCAAAGAATTTTCAAGCACCCAAATTGGCAAACAGAAGACACATTCCTTTACAAAATTGAAATTACAGAAAACTAATCACATTATTATACTCCGGAACATGTGAAGAGGGCGGTTTGCAGTAAGAGTAGTAAAAAACACTACTTGGGTGAAAAAAAAAAGGTTCAGAAGGAAGAAAAATTTGAAAAATTAATTAGTTACTGAAATATCAGCATAATTAAATAGCATATATATCAATAAAGCAATGAGGGAATAGAATACCTTGGCTGGATTCAAGTTTCGGGGAAGAACCAGATTCGAGATTCGATACTCTGGTTTCGAGCGCATCCAGTTTCTGCTTCATCTACAAATAAAGGGACCATGATTACTAAAACATCTAAGAAATACCCAAAAAGAATCAGATAAATGGAGAACATTTACATCAGCAGTAAGGGCATATCGATCGGTCCAGAGGTCTCGCCACACGAATTGGGAAATCACGGCGGCGGTGACTGAGAATCCGGCGGTGAACCAAAGCAGCCGAGTCCTCAACATTTTCCCGAGGAGAGTGGAACAGCACGTCACGTGAGTATGGCATATAATCACTAATATACTGCTGATTTAGGCTCAGGTTTAATTCTGGCCCAACATTATATTCGGCCCATCCCCTCTAGTCTAAAATTCCATCCCCTCTAGTCTAAAAGTAATTTTCTGCCAAAATTGTTTATAGGCTAATTATTTAAAAGCTTCCGATCATGGACAATAGGGGTGAGTATTTTCGGTATAAGTTATGTATGAGTTATATTTGATATTTAATTTAAAAGTTTTTAAATACAACCTTTTAGATTTGGTATCTATCAAAATATTTGAAAGTCTATACTTAGTACTTAACCTAACAAGTATCGAGTAATTTGTAAATATATATTTATGTACTTAGTAAGAAAAAATATTTAATATAAAATACTATTGTTACATGTATTATGTGTTTGATTTAGATTTTATTATTTATAGAAATTGTTATTGTTACATGTATGATTTATTTGGCTTATAAGGCTTAACTTTTATTTTTATTTTTTGCATTTTATTATTTTTATTTTTAAAAATTATTGTGATTATATAGATATTAAGTATGATGAGTATATATAAAATTTCAATTATACAAGTAAGTAACATGTAAATTAAACAAGTCAATTAAATAGGTCTAGTAAACAGTTCTAAATCCCTATATTTATTACTTGACTTGATACTTATGAGAGTACTAGGTTCATATTTGTTACTTACCCATTTTTTCTACCGTATAGGTATAGTACGTACTCAAACGAGTGAGGTACTTATAAGTAATAGATGTACTTGTTTCCAATGCTCACTTTAATTGACAAAATGTTTTGTTTTGTGCTTTTCTTCCTTTTTTTTATTTAATATTTATTGTTAGGATGTTTTTTGGGCTTTTAGTTACCTTAAAACTAATCTCTTTCTTAATGATTTTAAGGGTGCATCTCTCATGTGACCTGATGCATTCATGAAATTTAATTTTCTTAAATATTGATTTTAAAACTTGAACCTTAAACCAAATTTACAAAACAAGAGTTACTTACCAATGGATCCAATTCATGGGGTTTTTTTTGCACTTTTCTCATCAGTCAATGAATAAGTGTAGAATTGAGAAAAAGAAAATTAGCTAATGATCATAATGATTCTCTTTTTAAAAATGACATAATTAAAAATTCTACTTATAGTGTAAGTTTATAATTTTAATGCGTTATTATATGATTGACAATTTTCATTTAGAGAGTTATGCATACTGTTGTATGATTCACTCATTTAATATCATATTATCATTATAAATTTATAAATCTTATGCGATATTATAACTATTTCCCCAAAAATCCTCTCCTCTTGGCTATTGCATGGCAAATTAGTGTAGATGTGCCACTTGCTTTGTTAAAGGCAAGAAAGATGAATTTTCTTGATAATCCTCCTTTTCCAAGCAGTTAACCTCCATGTGGGATAGTTGGAAGAATGTCAATTAAGTGTTGAAGATGCACCTTAGATTAGATTAGATGATGTTGCAAGAAGGAGGGATGTTTTCTTGCAAAATGAGTTATAGATTTGCCTTGGACAGATCTAAAGACTTCCCACATCTAAGACTACAATGAAGTTTGTTAATTAAATAGAGCAAAAAAAGAAAGAGAGAGCTAACAAAAAACAAAATTGCATTCTAGAACTAGAAGGTAAATTAAGGCTAGAGTAAGCTATAGATTTCAACATAGTAGGTAGATCTAAGTAAGCAACTATTTGTAGATTTTAGCTAAACAATTTGCAGAAATGTAAATTGAGCATTTTGAGAATAAAATGAAGTATTGCAACATAAAGTAACAAGATTGCATTAACTATGATGAAATCTATTTACAAAACAGAAACGTGATTATATTGACAAAATTAAAATGTGCTAACAGAATTTGCAAAACTATTGATCTAAAAGAGAACTTATGAAGGCAAGGGGACAAAACCCACATAAAACAATTAAAACCTAAAACTAGAAAGCTTGATGGTCGATATCCTAACTTAGAAGCTAATTGAGAGCTTGACTAAGGCATTTTGTTGTGTTGTTTTGTGTTGTGAGGGGTAGGCCTTGTTTGAATGTGTTGCTTCTTCAGATTTGTAGCTGATGAATCTCCAAAAAATGGCTTATGGCCCACCCACAACTCAACTACAAAATATGGTCAAAACTAATTGTTTTGACGAGACATGTCAGCAGTAGGCTTGGTTGAAGATTGCTTCAGAATTTACCACATGTCTACCACTTCATCAGATTAGCCTCCCACATCTCCCATTGGCTAAATTTGGCTAGTAACTTCCCCTAAATTCTAGCCATTATCTCTACTAAAATCAAATAATTTTAAATTATTAAGAGGTAGTTACCAATAGCTGCAGATCTAGCATTCCATGTAGTAGTTATCAACAATGTCTATCATGCTCTAGATCACAATTAGATGTCCCAATTTTTTCTCAACCCGCTAACCCGCCCATTACCCACCCGTTTAAAATGGGTTAGGGTTATATATTTATGACCCGCAACCGGTTAATGATCCGTTAAGAGAACTCGATCGGTCACGGGTTGATCCACCAGGTTAATGGGTTTGACCCGTTGATCCATCTAAAAATTTAAAAATTTTTAATTTATTATTTATTTATTTTGTTTTTCAATTCCCAATCCCACCTAAACCTCTAATAATTGACTAATTTTCTCT